GAAGTAGTTTCGCAGCAGCAAATCATCGCTAATCCACAATAAACTTTTTGTTGGAAAAAGCCGTAGTAATTTATTCCCAAAACTTTTATGGATAAAAAGCAAACTAAAAACACTTCAAGTTTAGCCCCACCCTATCAGTAAACACCCCGCCAATGCTTAGTCTCATATTGCGGCACATGCTTGTACACAAGCAGAATTAATCCTTTTAACCCCTATTAGCAAACTTGCTAGTAAGAAACCGCCTAGTGCTATTTTGTTTCAATACTTATTGGACAAACTTTTTTTCTTTTAAAAAACTTAGCAAATAATCTTCTAAAAGCAAAAAGTAAGGTTCTTCTTCATAACGTCAGCGAAGGCATTAGCGGACGTCTTGATACTAAATACGCCTTTTTTTTCTGCGCTCACAACTTAATTATTTCGGGCTAAATCGTGTCAATATTTAATTTGAATTTCCGCAGTGAGATTTTCGGCCTTCCTTGATGTTATTAACTTTATTTCTTGATAAATTTCCTCAGTTACCTTTAAAACGTTTTCAAATCGGCCAAACGGTCATTTTTTTCTATCTTTTTCAAAAATTCTTTTAGTTTTGTCACTTAAAGTTTCCTGTTCAATTTGGTTATCTGCTATTAACTTTTTAAAATGCTTAACGAGTTGCTCTTTGATATCTTTCCTTAAATTAGTTTGTTGGTTAGGAGTTATTTTTGCTTGCTTATCAGAACGAATTTTCTCTAGAATCTTCTTGCTGTTTTCAGTAAGATTTGCTTCTATATTTACTTCTAGTATTTCAGTCAGTCGGCGAAGGGTAAATTCCTCTAAGGATTCTTCGCCCTCTTCGGTTGGTTCTATGGTCAATTTTTCTTCTAACTTTTTAACTAATAAGTATATATCCTTGGCATCGATAGGAGTTATTATGGTTTTACCGGAAATTAGTCCAAAAGAAGGCGACACACTTCAACAAGCATAATCAAGATCGTAAATCTTAAGACTTTTTTCCAGTCTATTTCAATCAATTAATTTTT